GCTTGACACTGCTACTATGCCCATGATACTCACTGTCGTTGGTACCGCACTTTTCGCTAAGCTCCTTATGATGGTACGTTTATATATTGTGTAGCACTTCTGTATTGTACTGTGTTAATTCAAAAACTACATTTTTTTTTATAACTCTGGTGTCTGTTCCATCTTGCGCGCACCTCGACTAATTACACGGGATACAAGTACCATGTAACTCTATCCACCAAGGCGGATAAATGAGAAGAAATCACCTATTGCTGGTATAGTAACCTACAGTTAAAATCCTATTTTAGTATGAGTTTAATTTTGTGCACTGACACTGTAAATTTTTTACATGCAACAACGACCCAATAAAATCCACAAGTGGGGTATGGGGAGACGCAGACCTTACCTTCTACCCCGATGGGGTAGATTTTTTACATGATCCGGTTAATTTGACCTACAATGATAGGTAACTCTTCATAGCAAGTCTGATATAGTAACGGAAAAGAACCTTGCTATAACCAGTTAAATTGAACCGATTTGCTGTATATAACTTAAATACTTTTAGGAGTTTAAGTTATGTGCACTGACAATGTATATATTTTGGCACAATCAAGTTAATTTGGCCTATATTAATAGGTAACTCTTCATAGAAAGACTGGTATGGAACCTAGAAAATAGAATAAGAAGTACGAACCTGCTGTAACCAGTTAAATTGAATTGATGGTGTAAGAATCCTTTACACTGTTAGTGTATAACTTGTAGCCTTTTAGTATTTGGCTGAAATGTGGATGACCTTGAAAATGGACGAAGCATTAATTTATTCATTTGTTGGTTGTGATTCTGGCGAATGTAATAGTGAGTAGAAGGGATGCTTGGGGATAGTGATAGTTGAAAAAGTTCAATGTTGCTTCATACCTGGAGTGATGTGTAAATAAATTGATGTTGTCTCGTGATGTTCATATTCTTAGCAGGAGAACTACTTTAGTACTGTAACTTACCAAAGAAACCTAACTTATTAGTAGAACTACTTTAATACTGTAAAATACCTTTGAGTTTGAATACAACAACAATTCACCTCAGTCCTAAACAAGTTGGGGTCGGCTAAAACTTTGGGGCTGGTTTGAATGGATGCTGCTTATTTTTATTATATTTGTTGCAATGTAAAGTGCACTTAAGCGGATCTTGTTGACATTGATTGAGGAGTTTGATGGAATTGAGCTGAGTGAATCCACAAACCTCAAATGGTGCTTTTGTAATTTTACTCTACAGGTAGGAACACGGGGGACTTGCGCTATGCACTAAGATTTTTCAATTCCTTGGCATAATAAACTTGCTTGTACATTTTTACAATCTATATCAGCTGAGTAGCTTATAAGATACAGTTGTTTTTGCATGCAGTATGATGACTCGAAGTCTCAAGAAATGATTGAGCGAAAAATAAAGAATGCGCCTGATGGTCAAGGGTCAGTTAGGATGCTTACACGTGAGGAATGGGAATCAGTTCAAGACGTGCGACCAAGAACTCCATTTGAATCTAAACTGGCTCGTCCAAATGCAAGGCTAAGGACAGGGGATGCTTTGAAGATGGTAAATGCATTACTTCTTTAGTCTTTCATTCATCTGGTGGTGGGTACTTTTCCTGCTAACATTCTAGGGAACAAACTAAGTGGGTCAGAAAGCTTCCTATAGTTGTGAGACTTTCAGTCGACAAGCGGGAATGCAGTTTCTAGCAGAATATCATATTCGCGATAATGACTATTAATGGTGTTGTAGTATTTAGAGATCTATCATTATGGTCACATCGGTTGCCTGTTGGCCTAGAACTATGCATGTCTACCTTGTGCCTGATTAAGTTCACTTTTCATCTTTTTATGGACAGAGAATGTACTCACCAGCAGAGGTTTTGATTAGCTTGGGAATGAAAATAAAGGGGAGTTCTAGATGTTCGACATCCCCATGTCCTTAGAAAACGGAATAAGAGAAACTGCATTCGTAGTAGATTTTTGTGTTTTCATTCTCATGGACCAATAGGATTAACTTTGTTCCGAGTTTGCTTTTCAAATTGGACTTGCCTTGTTTGTGTTGATGCTAATATTTCTTCTCTTTTTCTTTCTCCAGTAAGAATGTCAATATAAAAAATTATAAATATGACAAGAATTGGTACCTCGTAAATATGGGAAAAGCTTGGACTGCCTGTAATTGTGTAATTAAGAATATGAATTGCTTTTTTCCCCTTTTCTATATCACTTGTAAATGCTATTTAAATGTCAACATGCTTGAGGGAAATAATCAAGCAATTCATTCTCTTATTCTTTACATGGTATCGGAGCCAAGGGTTTGAGTTCACTCTGGAAAAATTCTTCTTCCTTCTTGTGTTTCCAAAAAGGAAAAAGAAAAGAGAAAGAAAGGAAATCTCAATCAGACTAGTATTGAGTCTCAACTACCTCCTAGAAAGGCTACCCAGTCGCTATTGACCCCAACCTCAAAAGCCCAGAGCTAGAAGCCACACGCATGTATCTCACTTGCCATCCATCACCTTCACCAAAGTTTCACGCACCGGCCGTGGGTCGCTTTCCGGTGACCTTCCGACTGCCAGTGTGTCAAGGTCGACCAAGTCCCTAGCTTCATCTTCTCTTCTCACTTTCTATTGGCTTCAATTTTCTTTCCCTCAATTTTCTTTCTGTATACCCATCCTAGTCCAAATATTTCTGTTGCTGACCTGGCCTTGAGTTTTTTCTCCTCTATGAATTGTTTCTTTCCTTTCTAACTGCTTTATCCTCAGTCCTCACTGTTCAGATCTTCCTTCGAATTTGTCATAATCACAATTTCCTAATATTGACATTCTTAATATCTGCAATCCTCACATATAATTTGGTTGGAATGTTAAAAGTCCAGCTCTTCTATGATTTAGGCCAGAAATAGTGAAGATGATATATATATATATATATCTATGTTGGAAGTAGTGCACATCTAAAGGCAACCAGCTATTAAGGCCATCAAGTTATAAGGGCTAATGGAGAACTCTCAACTATATATTTTAAGTTTGAAGTTTCAATTCCTGGTAAAACGTTACAGGTGTAGTTTGGGGAAAAACGTCTATCCAAATAATGGAAGTCTGGAAATATATATATGAAAAAACTAATGAGACCTTCATTTTCCAATTGAACTTCTCTACTTTTGTTTGGTGTCAGGTTTTTGTCAAGTCAGGATCAGTGCAATTCTATGTCTTATTTGGAAACTTCGTCGTAAGATCACGCAAGACATCTGTTTAAATGATTAGGCAATGGTGAATTTAACATGATTATGCAGTACACAGTTTGTTACTCATTTTCCAATCTTTCAGATGTCTTAAACGTCTTATGTTACCTTATAAGTGGTAACTTATCATTTATTCTTCTCTTCTGATGATACTTCTTATTATCCCCCCCAAAATTCTTGCTGGTTCAGTGGCATGACAAAATTTTGAATGACTATGCTGTTTGTTTGATCGCTTATATGCAGGAAGATGTCAAGGATTGGACAATAGATGTTATAACTGATGCACTAACACGAGCTGAAGAATGTGCTAAACGAGGATCTAACTAGCTTTTAAGTTGATAACATCAGTATCCTATTTAAACCAGAGCTGCTTATGAACCAGGAGGTCTCTTCAACCTCATATGCCCATCTCAACATGCCATCCTTCTATTAGCAGAAGTGAAGTAATGCTGCCTTTCTTACTGGACAGCAATGACTAAACTTATGCTAGCTGAAAGTGTGCTGTGCAAAATTTTAGAACCTCAAAGATTTTTTTTCTCCATAGTAATCTACTCCATTATTGGAAATGGCGAACTTTAGTCAATATACTGAACATTTTCCTTTGATTAACATGCCAGAAAGTACTGGTCTAAGAAGCCTCTCTTTTGAGATTGCTTCTAGTTATCTTCTTGAGTATTGTTGGAAATAGTGTTTAGAGGAAAAGTGCTAATTGTTGGTGTTATGTTGGAAATTTGGTTTTCGGTTAAAGTGTGTTCCACTACTCAGTTCATGGGTATATACAGTTCAAGATCACTCAAGAACTGAGTCAATGATTTTGACCACCAAATCAAGTCTCAGTTAAATGACGAGCCACTATTACTGGTACATCTGCACTAATAAAAATATTGAATGTCATCTTTTTAAACCAAATTTTAGCTGTGGTTAAGAGGCCATACATAAATATTATTGCCTGAGTAATCTTACGTGCATGGTTTGTAATGTTGGTATAGGATTGACTCATTGAGTAATTGTAATATCAGAAATGACCACCTAATTTCAGCAATGAAAATGCCAGAATAACATGACTTCACCCAATTCTAATGTTGGTAGTATTATTTATTATTTAATAAGGAAAATGCGACAATTATTTTTTCTTATGTGATCAACTCAAATATTACATTATTTATGCAATATTTTTTTCTTTTATGGCCAATAAAACACTACAATATCAACAAGAAGAAACGCAGTATATTCCCACATGTAAGGTTTGGAAAGTGTAGTGTGTACACAGGTTTTACCCTTACCTAGTGATGGTAGAGAAACAGTTTTCATGATCAATAAAACACTAATATATTATTTTACGCTAAAGTTTATGTTTTATGCCAATATACTCGACCAAACCACCCTAATATATTTGCTTTGTGTATGGAGTTGCCTTTCATAAAGAACACTTACTTTCAGAGTTAGAATCTTTAACGTATAACTTAGTGCACCCGACTGTCCTTTTTCTTATGTGTATATCAAACAGCGAATAGGAACCCAAAAAATCTACCATTTTGCCCCTCTATCCCAATTCATGTCTTGTATTTTTTTAATCTGTCTAAAAAAGAATACTATACCTTTTAATCTATCTCAAAAAGAATACGCTCCTTTAGAAATAATTTAACTTTATACTTCATATTTTATCATAATAATATGATTTATAGTCATGTAAAATTTTATGATTTATTTTAAATCACCTAGACTCTATGCCGAATCAAATATTACGGCATAAATTGGGAAGACAGAAGGAGTTTCTTTTTCCCATTTTCCTCGTAAGCTGATTAGAGATTCAGAGCACCGTACTCTTAGCTACAGTTTATTCACACCGTTGAGAAAATATCCTTTCCTACTCTTCGTACTTCTCTCTCTCTCTCTCTCTGATCTCTCTTTGAGTTACCCTTTACTGTCATCTCAGTTGACGGACAGCTTAGTTTTTCCAAGTCTATATTCGGGTTGATAACTACTCTGGATCTGTTTTTGACCCATATATTTTTTGCTAATTTTAGCTGTTTAAAGCTACTTAAACGAGGAAAAGAATTCTAGGTCACAGTGTTCTTGGAGTTTCATCTCATGTTTTGACTGCGCACTTTTACTCTAATGACTCATTTGGTGAGTTCCCATATATCAGTTTCTCCACTGCCTATTTGAGATTTTATATAAGTTAGTATTGGTTGATGTTGAATTTGATAGCTGCTTGTGATTTGAATTCTTCTCTAATCTTCTGGATCTAATGTCTCTTTTATTAGTTAGTATTTGCATGTCAATGAGGTTTTTATCTGCAATGTCGCATCCAGGATTTGAACATTATGGGTTCGAGTTCAGAATTCTACCACAACCCCTTCGATTTACTGAGTTCAAAATCTATTATTTTGTACTTGTTTACTGAAGTTCTTAACCCATAAACTAGGTCCGAGCCAACAGAGGTGGATTCGGGATTTAAAATATATGGGTTTAGCTTTTAATATTTTTGGCATTGAACCCATTATAATTTTATAGTTATGGGTTCATATCTATTATTTGTTGCAGTTTTATTGAATTTTGACACATAAATTTATGCTCCGCTGAAAGTACTGAGTTCTGATGAACCCGATACTCAAATGTTGCTTCCGCCCCTGCGAGCCGAAGCTACTAGGTTTAGATGAACCTATTAGTCCTTAACTACATCGACCCCTGGCTATAGGATATCGTTACTTGTTAATTGGCAGTTTATGTTTTTCAGTGAGTCTTCAGTTTACACATGGAGAATGTATGTACTAGATGTAGGAACTGAGGGCTTCTTTTGTTTTGTCATCAACAATTCAGATTTTGATTCAGGAATCTTGAATTATTGGACTAAAGACCTCGGTTCCCTTGCTCTCCAGATCTTCCCAGCGTGAAATATCCCCTTCTTTTTAAATTTGCTTTTGCATCTTTTAGTGCTTAGGAATGGGAATTTGATTCTCTCATATTCATGGTTGCATATGGCAAGATTGAAGTTAAAGGTTGTGCTTTTGGGCTTTGAGTTGGGTATTATCATATTTGACTCTGTATGTTATCTTACGGTCTTACAATTGCAGATTCCAGTCAGTATTTGGTCAGTTGAATATTGAAATCGACACAACATCTGAATGTAACCATTTCGGATTTCCTTTTGGACATGAATTTGTGCCTCTTATCCCCAATCAACTTGTCTATAAGCAGTTTAGGCTTATTGTTGCAAAAATGCTTGAAAGCTAAGTTGCTGCGACCGTGCAAGCAAATTCATGCATTAATGTTAACATCGCACATTGACATGAATGCTTTGTCACTGGATTCAAAGCTCATTGGTGCCTATGCAAGTTGTGGGGATCTCGGTTCTGCTGAGCTCGTGTTCGAAAGAACCAGAAACCTGAATATTTTTGCATTTAATTGGATGATTTCAGCTTTGGCATTTCATGGCTACCCTGAAAAATCCATTGGTTACTTCTCTCTTCTTCAACAATCAAGTATTATTCCGAACAAGTACACATTTGCTATTGTATTGAAAGCATGTGTTGGTCTAATGGATCTGAACAAAGGAAAGGAAGTGCACAGTATGATATATAGAATGGGATTTGAGTCAGAGTTATCGGTTGCCAATGCCTTGATTGATATGTATGGTAAATGTGGCAATACGGAATATGCTCGTTTAGTTTTTAATGTAATGGTTGAGAGAGATATTGTATCCTGGACATCATTGATACATTCATATGTCAACATGGGGAAAATTGAAGAATCCTTTATTTTGTTTGAAAAGATGAGGTTAGAAGGCATAAGGCCTAATGATTTTACATGGAACATTATGGTTGCTGGATATGCTAGGAAAGGAGATTGTGACATAGCTTTAATGTTATTCTCTAAAATGAGTAAAGAGGGGTTGACTCCAGATTTGATTACTTGGAATGCAATGATTTCAGGGTTCGTTCAAAGCCAGAGGTCAACTGAAGCATTAGCATTATTTCTGGACATGTTGGATGCTGGAGTTAAGCCTAATGAAGTCACTCTCACCGGGCTCCTTCCTGTGTGTGGGTTGATTGACTCTGTTTCTACGGGGAAAGAAATTCATGGCTTAGTATATAGATTAGAGCTTTTTGCTAATGTCTTTGTTGCTAGTGCTCTCATTGACATGTACAGTAGATGTGGGAGTGTGGAAGATGCTTGGAATATTTTCAAGTCCGTTCCTTTCAAGAATATTGCATCATGGAATGCTATGATAGGATGTTATGGAAAGCATGGCAGAGTAGAACATGCAATCAAACTATTTGAGAAGATGCAGTATGAAGTAGTGCTGCCAAATGAAGTAACGTTAACTTCTCTTCTTTCTGCATGTAGTCATGCTGGTTTAGTTGAGATAGGTTTGAAGATCTTTTGGTCCATGGAGGAGTCTTATGGCGTTAGAGCAAGGAAAGAGCATTATGCTTGTGTTATTGATCTTGTGTGTCGTGTTGGGAGGCTGGAAGAGGCTTACAATATAATCAAAGATATGCCAACAGAAGTTACAGATTCAATTATTGGGGCTTTCTTCAGTGGTTGTAAGGCCTACACAAGGAGAGATCTTGCTGAAAAGATGGCTAAGGATATATTGCACATGGATCTGAAGAAGCCTGAAGGTCTTGTAGCTCTCTCAAATATTTATGCTGCTGAAGGAGAGTAGGAGAATGTTGAGAATGTGAGGAGCGTGATGAAGGACAAGGGATTAAATAAGATGCCTGGTTCCAGTCGGCTGTAGAGAACAAGATGATATCCGGAGATAGATCTAGGAGTGTGAAGCAAAATTTGATTTTAAACCATTAGATAACGGTAAGAACATACTCCCTCTATTTCAATTTATGTGAACCTATTTGACTGGGCACGAAGTTTAAGAAAAGAGAGAAGACTTTTGAACTTGTGGAGTAAAATGAGGCACATATATTTTGTGTGACTATAAATCATTGCATAAAGGTAAATTATTTCCAAATAAGGAAAGGGGCCATTCTTTTTGGCACGGACTATAAAGAAAATAGGTTCACATAAATTGAAACGGAGGGAGTATAAGATATACATACTTTGCTGTTTGCAATAGTATTCTGATTTTGTTGCCTTTAATGTGCGCTTAAAGTTGAAAATGATTATTCAAGGTCTCACATCCTTTTCTGAAGAACCTGTGTATCGGGAATGAGGAACATGGTTTCCATGGTATAATTTACTTTTGCACTCAGCTAAATGCTCTAAGCTCTCTGTTATGTGGCTTTCTTTACCCTTTCACGAATTGGAAAATTTGCTGATCTGTTAAGTAGCGTAGGCTGCATTGAGAGAGTGCATATCTGCGAATATTTCATTCATGCCCAAATAAAACAAAGAACTATCATTTTAAAAAAACAAGTGGGATTGATGCAGTCTTACTTGAATTTCTTCCTTATTTGGTGCTCCTTTGCTCATATTGGCTGAAAAAAGTTCTTTATACACTTTCACCTTGAAGTAGCCTTTTGATTTGGTCAAGTTATTTTGTGATTTTACTCTATGAAGTCCATCTTTCGGCTTTGAGGTTTAGTTGGCTGGTTAACTCTGTGAAGTCCACTATTAAGTAATCTAGTATTGTACCGATCGGTAGTGTTATTTGTGTTCTTTTTCTTTCTTTTCTTGGATGCTATGTTGCAAACTTGCAATCATATCCTCAGAACTAGCTGTACTGTGTTTTTCAGTGTATTCTAGAAGCTGTGGCATAGATGGAGCATTACTAATTTTGGTTAGAGCCAAACTGATTAGCGCTCTTAAAAAAACTAATCAGGGCTCTAAATATTTCTGTGCAAACTTCAACTAACAGTCTGTTTTGGGATCTGAATCATTTCATATGTTTCTCATTCTTGACCGGCTAGTCTTGTGACCAAGAGGTATGATTTATTTTAAGAAGTATGACGTCAAACAACTTTCATCTCTTTTATTTTTTTTAAATATAATGCTATGCTGGGATGGACACAAGGGTCGTGATACTCAATATTTGTTTCACTTAAAACTATATTATTTCCTAGAAAGGATAAGAATCTGAAGAGAATATAATTACCTTTAGGTGATGTATTGATACTTGCATCCAGTTTACTACATAAATGGAAGTAAAACTGTTATACTTACTCCTCTCCATCGATGAAAAATCTGAAGGGCTTTTTCTGTTCCTCGTTCACTTCCTTACAAAGCAGAGGGTAATGATGTGTACATTCCCCCTTTTACTTCCACTCATGCACCACTTCTTCCTTTCACCCCAATCAAGTGTTGCTTTAGTCGTAATGTGAAGCTGTTTGTGCATAGACTTTACATCTTTAACTTGGAATATACAGTAGAAGTGAGTCTATTTCTACATAATGTTATTACCTTTAGTATTGGCTATCATAGTTGAAAATTAAGAGCCTTGCAAGTTTGCACTTGCCTACCTTTAAAGCCTTCTGCAGTTTTTATGTCACCTCTTGAGAGTAACTATAGTTGATCATTTAACATAGGGCACTTGGCTATTCTTTCAGACTGATACTGGCGGAGGCAGCAGGATAGCTGAAATATACTGACTGAAGCTAGACATAGTTGGGAGTACATATCTATATGCATCATCTTCTGAATTAGGTTGTCGATATATCAAAATCCGTATTTCTTTGTTCCAGATTTGGTTTTTGGTTGGTGACTTAGTGTGGAGTAGTACAGAAAAGAGTGGACAGTGTGTTTTCATGCTAATAAGTGTAGGAACGGGAGGATAATTCCAACTTGGGGTACTTATCGATCATGTAGCAACTTCTTTACACTTTGCCTCGCAACAATCAGAGTTAACTGGGAATGGAGGTCTTGACTGCCGGTCATTGTCGCATAATTTAAGTTCTCCGGGTTGTTTTTTTTTTTTGTAGTGGTAGCTTTGCCTTCTTTTTTGACAGCCAGTTCTCACCTCCCATGCATGTAATCCCTGAAAAAACAAAAGGAAAAAAAAGAGAGCTTGTATGTACTTGATCGTCGACACACCCATGATTATTAAGTGTTGTGTGCATTTTTCTATTGATTACTTGAACATCCTTCTGTAAAGTTTTTCTTTTTGAATCTTCCATTGGAAAACATAGTTGATTCATGTCTCCCTGAATTATTTTATTTAGCAGGCGTGTTTGCTGCTAGTTTGTTAAACCCTGGGGTTATCAAGGCAATGGGTCGAGGAAGAGGAAAGGGCTGAAGTTGACTGTAATTGACCCCGATGATCCAGGAAGTGATGATGAAGAGAAAATCCCTACTCAGAAGAGGAGAGGAAGGCCACAAAAATCACTCAAAGATGACATTGACGAACAAGCAGCTGAGATGATCAAAGAGGAAGATTCTGCGAATGAAAAAAGTGGAATTCTAAACTTGGAGATAAAAAGTTCTGCAACGGAAAATGGGAAGAAGAGGAATCGGAATACTCGGATGAAAGAAAAGCATGATTCAATTAAAGAGGAAGATGGTAATGGAACAAGATCAAACACTGATGAATCTACTAGGTCAAATAATGCTTTCCATCATAGGCGGAAAAACAAGCCAACTGACATTTTGGCTGCCTTTTGTGATGGCAGATAGATCCTTTTACAATGTAAACCACGCCTTAGTTTCTGTCTTCCTTTCTGTATGCTCATTTTTGGCGCTTTAGTACATTGACATTTCTTAAACTTTTTGGAAAGGTATTGAGCCGGTAATACAATTTATGATTTCCAATGCTGCTAAAAGTATATCTTGATCATTTCTACTCTAGATTCATTTCCTATGCAATCTGTTATATTTCTGAATTTAGATCTGATTTTCCCCCATGTTGCTTTCGATTGTTTTCTTGTCCCGTGACAGGTGAATTCAATCAAGAGGTAAAGCCAAGCTCTTCCACTTCAGTTTTTGCGTGGTTCTCTACTTTGAAGAGCAACAAGTAACCGACCAAAGTGGTGGGTGAATTGATTGGGCAAGCATCACTAATATAAACCATGGTGTAAATGGAAAAGGTCTTGTATTTAAGGGGAAAAGAATAGAAGAACCCGCTTAATATTAATCACCAGTTTCTAATCGTGCGCCAATTATTGCAAAGAAAATCTTCAATTGTTTTTCTTTTTTCATTCTAAATCAAGGAACTTAGGGGAGATTGAAATGGAGAAAACACTCCCATAAATTTAGGGATTAGATTAAGCGAATACTATGAATTACGTTTATTGGAGTCAACAATTGACAATAACTATGATTTGTTCTTCTAGAAAAATGAAGACGCTACCGAATGTTGGGGCTGCAAGTTAAGGTAATCAACCAATCATTTCTATGTTCCTATAACCAAATTAGACCTTTAATTGATTAAGAACTCATTTACTCTGACATCCGGAAAGTAAGAAGAAGAATTAACCCAAATAGCCGCTCACCCTAGCACTTAAACTAAAAATAGCTGGTGAATGAATAATATATGCATAATTTATGTATTGCATATGTATAATTGTTTATAATCAATATATAATCTATGTATATGGCTAGAAAAAGTAAATAATATGGCCGGCTATTAATTGTCTGAGATTGCACGAAACATGAACTAAACAAAAAGTTGCATGCCATTCATGAGAGCATCACAAAGCAATGCATTGAGCGCTAGACACGACTTATATCGAATCTCGGCAATCGTAAGAATATTGGACGCAAATTGCTTTTCTCTAACTACAAAAGATGAGGTAATAAGAAAACTGGTAATATATAAACTTCCTAGCACAAAGCATCACATGGTTGTGTTTAGTTCAACGTGACTAAAACCAAGACCTACACACATCAATCTCAGGCAAGCATACCAATTTGACTAAAATGTAATCATTCTTCTTGAGTTTGACCAAGACATTGTTGAACCAAATGTAAGATGGTAGAAGGCAAACATTATTAATTTACTATGGCTTACTGATAAGAGTAAATGAGAAGACATGTGCCATACTTCTACTGGATTAGTGTAAACACCAATGCGAGTACTTAGCTCACCAATGTCATCACCAAGCCAAACAATTTAACCTTAGCAATTGAAATTTAAGCGAATATACATAGAACTCACACATAGTTAAGTCATAAGGGGTCATTTGGTTGGTGAGATAAGGAATAACAATCCACGGATAAAATGTAAAGATTATTGTATCCCGCAGTCGTATCAATTGGTCCTAATATCTCACTCCATTAGATATCCTTACCTATCTCATCCCACCAACCAAATGACCCCCAAGTGTGTTTATACAAAACACGTATCTTGCATTCATTGATTTGGTGTAAACGTTAGGCATGATTAAGTTTTCACCGTTTAGCATGCTTCGATTTTTTGATATTGGTTAATCTTTGTCCAATAATACCAAAAAATCAAAGCATGTTACAAGGATAAATACTTAAATACATCCAATATTTACACCAAACCAATAAATGCAAGACATGTGTCTTGCATACACACACACACTTCTCAATTAAATATGTTTGAATAATATGTATTTTCACTTAAATTTTTGGCTTCTCACTTGAATTCAAGTCATCTAATGTCTCTTCTCAATATTTCCTTTCGGCTACAAAAAGGGAAAAGGGTTACCTTGGCTTTCCAGAGGTCAGGCTCTCCCTCAAAAGATCCAATCACAGGGTTCAGAGAATACCAGTAATCAACAAAATATTAACAAGATGTTTGCATTTCAAAAGGATAAATAAACTCGAATAGAAGATGAATTTACAAAACTGTGACCAGTACATCATCCTAGAGACAAATTTAGATCTGAATTTCAGGCAGTTAAAACAGGAATGCGCCAACTAAAGACACTAACCTGAGATTATGAACAAATTAAATCTTGAATACTGATGCAAAACAATTTAAGTGAAGGAGAAAAAGATGAAGTGGGAGAAAACAAAAGAAAGTACTATTGGACTGCACTACAGCACAAACCAGTAAGCTGTGCGTTCCCCCCCCCCCCCCCC